TTTAACTCAAATCTATCTTATATTTGTTTCATTTAGGTGGTTGTCTATCTCTGACCTTATGATAGAATTGTTTATATGGTTTATTATATATGGGTGCATAGCTTTTATCTAGATCAAAATTTTCAGGTTGGTTAGAGGTTTCTGTTGGATTAAGTCCTCCTCCAGTATTCATTAAGACTTGGTATTCACTTACATTTTCTAAATTAAGTTGGTCAAAATTTTCTATTAATAAATCTAATTCCTCGTTCATCTTTTTCTTCTTCAAATTTCAATTTTCCTAGTGATTTTTTGAAATTTTCTTCTTCTTCTAATATTTTTGGTAGAATCCTTTTTCTAAATTCATCATCCATATTTCCTGCTTCTATTACTAATTTTTTCTTGTTCTATATGTTTCTTCCCAACTCTTGACATTTATTTTTCTATAAGTTTTTTGTCTATTTTCTTATCTTTACACTTGTTATTTTCCTTTAATTCTCTAATTTCAATTTTTAATATATTTATGTCATTTCTTACTTCTTTTACTTCACTTCTTAAATCTTGGACATCCGTTATTAATATTTTTATCAGTTGTTTGAGTTCATTCTTATGTTCATTCATTTTTATATTAAGAAGGTCTGTTAATATTCTGGATTTCTTATTTTTCAGGTTTTATTTTTGATTGGGTAAAATAAAATAATTCGCATTCATTATCTTTTGATTCTTTTATTATTTTATCAAATCGGAACTTGGCATATTCTGTATTTGGAAGTTCTTTTAGATTCTTAAAATATCTTGCTTTTATTTTAGATTTTTCTTGTCTTGGTTTTAATATTTGTTTTTCCTGATTATTTGTTAACTTTTTGGTGCATCTTCTATTTGTGGTATTAATAGTATGTTTTCTATTTATTGATGTAATTTATACATATTATTATAATCAGTTACAAGTTTTCTTTCAAGTTTTTCCATACTTAGGCTAGTATTCTATTAAGAATTAACTTTTTATAATGATTCATAATTTTCT